TGCTAATCATTTTTTTTTCAAATATAAAATATTCAGATTCATTAATATCTTCACTTTTAACTGGGAAAATCATGACGTAAATGTCTGCAGACATTTGTAAGATTGCAGCAAAATCATCTGCAGTGAATTTAATAAGTAAGTTTAAGGCATTATTTTACATTCAAGTAATACATATGATTTTATTTTCTTGAATTCTTAAAGAAATTTTTTCAGAATTAAAGATTTCAAAATTCTAAAGCATGGAATTTATGTTATAACAACAATTTTTTAAAACTTATAGTTGCTTCAAGCAAGGAGTGCAATTAGAAGTTCATGTAAAAAAATGGTAAAATTATATATACATGAATTAATATAAATAAGCATTTTATTTCAAAAATTTGAATGTATCTTTTAATCATTTGTATAAGTACTAAGAAGAAAATTGTACTCTCAAATCCATATCTAAAAAACTATATGCACTGTATCATACACTTTTAATAAAATTATTCAACAAAAACAGAAAAAGCTACTTCAATAATAACACAACCATACTGACATAAATAAATATCCAAAATAACTTAATTCTTTTGAAAATTTAACTCTAAATTTCCTGTAATAAAACTATTCACTAGCTAGGTTCCCATGTAATGTTTCACAGTGCATAAAAAATAAGCAACCTGTTGATGTTAAAAATTGGGATAAACTGCATAATGATAAATGCAGAATGAGTAAATGTCAAATAGGTTCTACTCAACAACAAGTACAGTAAGTACTACTAAACAAAACCATAATCCTCATACTATGTTTTCAAATATATATTCTCTCAAACTATTTAGTTAGAAGTAAATAGAAAATGGTTTTCTATACTAATATAATACAGCATTTTTATATAGAATTACGTGTTGTAAAAGTATAAAATAGAACAATAACCTTTCCTTGGATATATAACAACAGTAAGTACAACCTTTATCACAATTAATAGCAGTTATATCATCATTTAATTCATTTTGATTAATATAGTTCTTAATTAACTTTTTAATACTCGTAATTTTTTTTAATACTAGTCTGGTATCTTGGTCTCACGGATCCCATACTTACAAATTAGTGAATATCGTACAAGACATATACAACTAGGCACCTAAACTTTTGTGTACAGCACAACTTTCACTGAAATATATAATAATTTCTCTTTATTTTAATGCTGTGATCAGGTGTTTTATGATATGATAAACTGGTATTGCCACTGACATAGATAGAACTACCAATTTGTTTTGTGAGGGGGAGTAAGTTAATTATATTATATATTATACATCAGTTTTCATATATTTAATTATGTTTCCTAGTCTTAGCAGTCTTACATTTGATTGCATGACTTCCCTGAATAGTCAGATGGATAATTTGAAATAAATAATATTTTATACACAGATCATAGCAGAAAACTAGTAGTAAAAGATTTCAGTAAAGTATATAAATTTAACTGAAATGAAAACAATTTTTGTCTTTTATATCTCACAGAACATCATTCATCTACATGACTGCAAATGAATTCTGAAATCAAATAGGATATGCTATAAAAAGTTTCTGCTGAGCATGTTAAAAGAATGTTTCTCAATTTTGCTACACATTTCTTTTTTTCTTAAATGTACTAAAAATAATTTTTTGTTTTACTGATAGGGCAAGAACTTTACTTCTGTTTCATTGACAGAGGGAATCCTTTTTAATAATGCTCTCAAAACCAGGGGGGAAAGATAGTAACTACCTGGGCTTCAATTCAGACACAGTCTACTGCAGCCGAATTCCACGTTTCAAATTTTGAGCCAAAATGCACTGAAGCTCCAAATGAGATGAGCTCTTATATTTTGCTGTGTACCTTAACTGCAACATTAAGAGAAAATTCTATAATTTTTACAGCATTTTACTTAACATTCAATAAAACTGATACTATTGATATTACATATTAAATTTATGTCTTACTTTTCCTGGGGTGAACAAAATGTGACAGAAAACTTGAACAACAAAAGAAAAAATGTGACCTTTTCTGCAAGAAATTTCATGGACTGTAAACATTCAGTCAAGAAGGCTTTTAAATGGATTAGAAGCCAAAACAAAGCTGCAGTTTTATCTGACTATAAAGAATATTGCTTAAAATACTTACCTTTCTTTTATTCTTGGTATCATATCTTCTTACTGCTAATTTACACACATCTTACACTTGATTTAGTATTTCTTTTGATTTTGATCACATTTTTCAGTTTATTAATTTATACAAACTCCATTTTATTTTTATTATAATTTTATTTTTACTTATCATTTTTAGTGTAAATTAATTTATTAATATTTTAATTTGTTTCTTTTTTTAACATTTCATTCAATCTTATTTATGTATTGTTTGTTGTTTTATTTATTTTTGTTTACCATTTTTAAGGTTGCAGCATTTCTCAGTTCAGAAAATAAACCCTCAAAATTATAATACTGTTTTGTAGTAGCAATGCTACTAATTTTCACTTTAAGCGCGAAAAAGATGCTGTGTGATCATAAAAAATATATCCATGAAATGAACAAAGGATTTATTCATTTGGACTATATGAAAACTGTGTGCTCTAAATGTCATAATTTGGATTCAGGCATTACTAAAAGATAATCTAGAAAATCATTTAAAATTTACATTTCATTTCTTTCAGTATTGAGTGTATTTATAATATTTAAGGATCAATTTATGAACACAATTGTTTTTATCACACAAAATACAAGATGAAGTTAAAAATGAAAAATATAAATGTAATTATACATTTGCTTCTCCATAGAACAAATGTTTTCTGAAAACTAATGTAAAATGAAAACACAAGCTAAAGAAAATAAATTAAAAAAATAATGATCTGAAAGACCAAACACCAGTACCTATGAGATGAAAAGTTACGCACTGGTAGTGAAGGTATGCTCTTTCTCTTTATTCTCTAATACAGGGGTGGCCAACCTGCCACTTGCAAGCCACATGCAGCTCTTTGAAGGATTATTTGTGGCTCTCAATAAATGTACCCCAGTTCCCCTTTCATTTTTGTGTTATTATATTTTAAAAAATTATTATTGTTCTGTATGTATTTCAAAATGTCTTTTAAATTACAGACAACAAATATGAAAGACTAAGTGCAACGTTGTAACAAATTTCATTTCCATCCAGCGTCTCTTAATTTTTTTCTGAAGCCATTTGAAATTAACATAATTCAAGGTGAGTTTTCCATTTCCAATATAATTATGACCCAAAAAGCATCTGGAGAATTAGAATTAATAGAGATGCAAGAAGATCAAGCTCTACAATTAAAATATAAACTGACGCCGATTACTGAATTTTGGAAATTTGTACCAGAATCTAAGTATTCTGAATAAAAAAAGGCTGCTTATCGAATTATTTCAATATTCGGAAAAACATAATGATGTGAATCATATTATTCCACTTTAAAATTCGTGAAATCCAAACACCGATTAGTACAGTACAAAGTCCATAATCCTGATTCGTCGGGTCTTCGGCGATTCTGGATTAGAGGTTTTCCCGGATTATAGATCATCAATTTAAATTTGGTAAGATGGCATGCAGAAATTATACTATTAAAAATATGAAACTGTAATTTATGAAATAAAAAGCAATTAGGGTATCAAATTTTACAAAAAAAAAAAAAAGCTTAATATTTATTTGTTTACTTCATTAAACATTTCTTTCAATGCGCATGCGTAAATTTTGTGGCTTTGAGGTCCGGATTATAGATCATTCCAGATAATGGACATCCGGATTACGGACTTTGTTACTGTATTAACTAACCAATATCTCAAAGAATTACTACTCACCAAATTTTAAAGACTTATCAAGAGAAGTAAAATAAATGTGTTTAATTTTTAATATTTAAATTCAATACACATATTTTTTACTTTTATTTATATGTTTTCAATAAATATAATTTCTGGAAAAAAAATTTTAATATCTTTTTAATATGTATTTAATTGTGGCTCGCGAAAAATTTCAAATTTTGAAAAATGGCTCGGGCTATCAAGGATTTTGGCCACCCCTGCTTTAGTATCATGTTAGAGAAATTAATATAATTAGTAACAACCATAACACATCAGTACACAAAAACAAAACAGTAGAGTTCCACAAATTCGACATAATGTGGACTGAGAGACTGTCAAGTTTTAAGGAATAAGCGGTGGGTTTTTCAGAACTCTTAATATTTAACTGTAAATTTAGACATTTGTAGCACAATATTGGAAACAGAAAAGTACAGCATACAATTCAATTAATGTTGAGTATTTTATGTCAAGTTCTAACACAATAGAAGTCATAAGAAGAACAATTACCCTAAGATAATAGAGTAAAAAATCTTACATACAAAAATGAAGAAAAATTATTAGTAGTTCTTGGTAGAAAAATAACATCTGATGGTAGATTGTCTTTCACATTCATTCCATCATCATTTGCTTCATACCGTAGGCGATGGAGGAATAAAATGTCCACATTAGATGCACCTAGCTCCTCCATGTAATGAAAGCATTCCTTCAGGGACCTTCAGTCCTTCCTATAAGAAATAGGGTCATCACTTTAGCTTTTCCATTGTCTTCAAACTCTTCATTTTCTGATTCATCTTCATTTTTATCCACACTGTCTTTCACCAGTGCAAGTATTTCTTCGTGTCCTAAATTTTCACAGTTGTCATCTTGTCCCATCCATTCTTCAACATCACCATCACTTCATGACCATTTCTTCGCAGCCTGGAATTTTCTTAGTTAAGTCAACTATTTCACAATTCTGTCTATATCACTTCTGTGCAAAAAGCAAAAATTACAGAAAAAGAACACTCATATCTTTCAAGAGAACAGAAGAGGCATATGCATAAATAATAAATATATGTACTGTATGCAATATTTGCTCTGTTTGGCCTAGAGACATCTTAAGAAAGTTCCTAAAAAACTGTTGAGATATCAGGAGTCGAATTTGCGGGACTCTATTATATATCATATTAATTATTTTTTTCATTTACACCAAGTATCATCCCTGTAAACACTTTCCTTTGAACCATGTATCCATAAACAAATTCATCTCAGAAACTTCATCAGGATTTCTAATAATCAGTTCATTTCCTTGAACCTATGATGTAATTCAAAAACTTATTAACAAATTGTAATTGTATTGTAATACATAATTCCATTAACTGTACTTAGTCAAGAAAACATATGAAAGTTAAATTTTATTAAATATAAAATATACTTTAACAAATTTGACTTTGCAAACATTTTTACTGCATGTTTTGCCTCCCAAGTTATCATTCGCAATCTGACTTACAGATCACCTTTGAAAATAAATACAATCAAATAATTTTTAATTAATAGTAAATACACTGATAGAAAATGAAATCCTTATACCAAGGAAAGAGTTATGCTGGGATAAACGAAATCTGGGAGGCATGTGTGCACAACTGAAAAATGACATCTATTCAAATTTGATGCTAAACAAATAAGATGTTAGTAGTATCACTATAAAAATGCAAATCATGTTTCCTCTAAATACAACAATATAAACCTTGCATGCTTTATTTACACACTTTTGCATAAAAATCGAAGAAAATTTATTAAATATAAAATATACTTTAACAAAATTGACTTTGCAAACATTTTTACCGCATGTTTTGCCTCCCAAGTTATCATTCGCAATCTGACTTACAGATCACCTTTGTGAAAATAAATACAATCAAATAATTTTTAATTAATAGTAAATACACTGATAGAAAATGAAATCCTTATACCAAGAAAGAGTTATGCTGGGATAAACGAAATCTGGGAGGCATGTGTGCACAACTGAAAAATGACATCTATTCAAATTTGATGCTAAACAAATAAGATGCTAGTAGTATCACTATAAAAATGCAAATCATGTTTCCTTTAAATACAACAATGTAAACCTTGCATGCTTTATTTACACACTTTTGCATAAAAATCGAAGCACCATGAAGGAAGTGGTTGTTTTTGATGAAATTGTATACGTGTATAGCTCATACACAGATAATAAAATGATTAAAAAATCAAGGTCATAGTACCTGTTCATGGCTCACAATCAACCATTGAGTGTTCAAATTAGTAGTTGGTCAACCTCCCATGCTTGAATTCATAGAGGCAAGGAGTGGTAGAGGTTCCTAATGTCATCCTGCAACACATTCTGCCAAGCATTCATCAGTTGTCGCACCAGATCTGCGATATTTTGTGGTTTTCGAATCTCGCAGCCTACCATGTCAGAGACATGCTGGATTGGTGAAAGATCTGCTGACCTCGCTGGCCAAAGAAGAGTATCAATTATACGGAGACAGTCCAGAGATATGCAGGCGGTATGTGGCCTGGCATCATCTTGTTGGAAAATGACCCTAGGATGATGTGCCATGAAGTGTAATGCAACCGGCCGAAGGATGGGTATCAACATATTGTTGAGCTGTTAAAGATGTATGGAGGATGACTTAAGATGACCTACTGTCATAAGAAATAGTGCCCCACACTATCACACCAGGGGTTATGGCTGTATGCCTTTATAAAACAAAGGTTGATTGAGACCGCTGGCCCTGTTGTCTCCAGACATGGACACGGTGGTCATCTGCTTCAAGAGTGAAGCAGGATTCATCGCTAAACGCTATACGATGCCAGCCATGATGATCAGCCGTGACACCACTCCAGATGACTCTGCCATTATTATAGGGTCAAAGGCAAACGTCTTAAAGGTCTCTGTGAACGTAACCCCGACTCAGACAAGTGCTGCAAGATGGTACGGTACCACGGGAGATATAGACGTGGCTGTTGTGCGTTGAATAGTGGACAATGATACCATTGGGGCGCTTCGGGCCTGTTGAGCAATCATCCTACTTTGTCTCACATTTGTGGTCCTTGGTCTTCCAGAGCCTTCATTTTTTAAGCAGTTTCCTTGCAGCAACCATTGCTGCCAACGTCTTTGCACAGCAGTGTCTGTACGCTGCAGGTGTTGACCTATTGCTCGGTATGACCGCCCGGCTTCATGCAACCCTACAATGCGACCACGTTCAAAGTCGTTTAGTTGTCTGTAAGATCTTCAATATTGTCGTAATGGCATCTTTAGTTGCTTCTTTAAAAATTACAATGGTAGCAAAAAAAAAAAAAAAAAAAAAAAAGATAAATTTTCCACCTCTGTAACTGGTTTTATACTTTACGAATTGTGCACTAGAAATGCACAATATGATCGCAATTCCTGTTCATTTGCCTTGAAACTTTCATCATTTGCATGCTCAATCAAGATGTTTTTGCATATTAAATTTCGTCACTCACGTTCACAAAAGTCCTTCTTGATGCTTCGATTTTTTTGCAAAAGAGTATATTTTCCAGATTGAGTATTGTGAGCAAGATTTGAATCAAACATGCCTTTAAAGAGATGAAGAAGGTAGTATCAGCAGCTTTCCGAGTTTGAGCAAGGCTGCATAATAGGGTTACAAGAAGATAGAATTTCTTTTCCCTATATTGCAGAAAGACTTGTCAGGATGTATCTATGCATGCGTATTGGCAGCAGTGATCACGGAAAGGTTCAGCTACAAGAAGGTCAGGATCTGGCCACACATGTGCCTCTACGAGACCCTTACATTCACCACATGTCTGTGGCATATTGCATTGTATTTGCAGCAGACATTTGAGCTTTTGAAAATACTTTTAATTGTTGAATGCATATTTGCATCAAAATCAAATGCATGCATTCAAACATTTGACATCGCGTTCAACATTCTGCCGAACTTGCCAACCTATAACAGTAAAAAATCAGGAGAATTTTCTCAATGACAAAAATATTTTCAATGATAAAAATACATATAAAGGAAAAAAAAAATTTTTTTTTCACTATGAATTAACTTAATGTAATTAAGTTAATTAATCACTATGTAATTAATTAATATCTGAAAGTTCAATTACTAATTCTTAAATGCATGTAGTTCCACTTGTCGAGGATTACAGATAAACATTTTGCTAAATGTAACCAGCATGTGTATGCATATTTCAAATATTTTTTTATTTCATTATTATGCAGTTGTTGGAATCATTTCAATTTTTCCTTCCTTTCAGAATTTGTTTCAAGATAATAATAAATATTAACAATGTGTTCATCCATACTTACTGGCAAAGAAGTTGGCCCTTTTCCAACTGCTAAATTTAAGATGAGACAGGTGCATCTTATTTGCAAGTCTGAATTTTCTTTTTTTATGATGCCTGCAAAACCAGTCTCCAAGCCTACCATTACTAGTGCATTGTCGGCCCCCAGTGCCAAGCAATTATCCAGAGGAATTGTATTTTCTTGTAAAGATTTAATAATTAGCTGTGCTATATTAAAGCCTATTTAGATGATGTTAGATGATGCTAGTTTTAATTCTTATTTTCATTCTTCTTTTTTACTGTGCTGCTCGTCGCTTAATAGCAAAAGTGCGGGTGTAGGATTAAAAAAAAATAAATAAATAAAGCCTGTGAGATTTCTTTCTGAAGTGGGGACAGGAAGTAAACTACACTTAATTTCTAAAGATTCTCGATTTAAAAAAGAAACAACAATTAGATACAGATTTGCATAGGTATTATTGCTTCCATCCACAGAGAGACAGAATGGAGCTGTTTTAATGGAATCAATAACTTAAAGATTTATTTTTCATACCCATTTCATAACAATTGCACTCGTTTTTGTGTTTGCACTTGAGTATTTAGCAAATTGCGTTGTTCCTTAATCTTCGAATTGGATTCGGCTTATTATTTTTTGCAGACTGTTAGAGCAATTTTATAAAAGTAAGCTTGAACTTTTGATTATGTCAAATAGAATTTTCGATGCTGGAGCTCCCAAAAGATCTACAAAGCGAAAGTATGTTTTGATGTCCATCAAACAAAAAGTGGAATTGCTGCAACAAAATGGATAAAGGCATATCCTTTGTTTCTCTAACCATTCCAAAATCTGTTTATCAATTTCACGCTGCTCTGTGGTCGGAGGGGGGGGGACGGCGTGGTGCGCAATGAATTGGAAGTTAAATCTGTCAGCACTATCCTTATCTTCAGGGGCAGATTTTTATTTTATTTGGCTTATAATTCCTTACTAAATGTAGTATTTCATCTCAATGTACTCCGTCTTTGATATGATTTAAATCAAATTCCTCGTCATTATAATTCGCTTCCGATAGTGGAGAAAGTGACACAGAGGTTATTGAAAACGAAAAAATTTTGATTGACAAATTAGTTGGTATTCTCGACACAGGAATTATAAGACTTGAACAGCGGAACTTTGTAACTGAACAAGAAATTATGTTTAGATCATAATTGTTCTTTATTTTATAAATTACGGTTTCATATTTTTAATTTTATAATTTTCGCATGCCATCTTACCAGATTTAACTGATGATCTATAATCCGGAATCGCCGAAGTCCCAACGAGTCCGGATTAACGACTTATGACTGTATAATGCATCACTAAATTTATTTCATTTGAAACCCAATCGCACACCCAATCTATAAAATGATTTGACCTAATTATATAAAATTTTTTATTCCTTTGGCTTTAATTAAATGCATTTCCATATTTTATTCTTAAACATAAATTTACATGGTATGCAATATACAAGGCGAATCAAATATGAGGGGAATAAAAATTCAAAAAATATGAGGGGGATAAAAATTCAAAAATTTGAAAAGTATAGAGAGGAACATGATACAATTATCACAAAAATGCACAGAAAGTTTGTTGTTTTTTTTATTTATATATATTTTTTAATAATGAAAGACTTTATTGCCAGAATGATTAAATTTTTCTCTGACACAAGAAGAGCGTCAGTTGTGTCTAAAGTTTTTTCAGTTGTACAAGACAATCCACAACATATCTAGGATTACAGATATTCAGTGTGATGAGCAGCTTTCACAAGAATAGCTGTCAAATGTAAACAGATGTATTTCTTGCCACCCATTAAGTTTTTGAAGTGAACAACATTAAAACTGTGCAGTGCTCTAGTTGGTACAGTATAAAGTCTTTAATCCGGACCTCAAAGCTACAAACTTTCTGTGCATGTGTAAATGCATAATGTGTTTAAGCATGCGCATAATACCCTTACGCATGCACGCATGTGT